CGTCCTAGTATACATAGTGAGTTAGGTAATTATCGTCTCCTCAGATGAACAAACATTGATCGGGTTCTCAGTGGTTCTCCAGTTGTTATCAATTCATAATAAATACCACCTCAGAAATATATAAACGTCTTACTGCGAACCAATAGTCAAAAGAGTCAAAGTACTTGTGAACAATAATGTAGACTAAGTGATTACTCTGTGGATTATTAAACAGTGTTACAATGTTTACTAATCAGTAGTGATCGGAACCCTTATTTAAGACTTATACTGCCGCTGGTATGCTAGAAAAGTGAATAGTACCCTACTTCCTCCAAAGAGAGCCTCTTATCCAAAGGACAGATAAACTATCTTTATAGCTAAATTATCAAGATGAACAGCACGATCCTGTTGACACTCATAACTTTACAGTACATTTATTATACTTCTGCCTGAGTCAGAACAGTGTAGTATGAGTTGTTCAATTGTAGAGTTCAGTTGCAAAATTGAAGTATAGGGTTTTGAGTTCCTGACAAATCGTGACTATTTTTAAGGTCTTAGGTAGCAGCTGCTGAAAATTACAAATGTCCAATGTAATTCAAGAGGAGGTTCACTGAACTTTACATTCCGAAACCTTTACCTATTTATTTCAGGAAATCACTCCAGTTCCAAAAAATACATCAGAATAAAAGAAGATATTTGCTGGAGATGATGTCGGTAACTCTATTTTCTTAGAAATGCTTATTATCACTATCGTTACATGCTATTGCCACTTTGAGTTATCTTTAGTAAACAGATGAGACAAACTAGGGAACATTAGCTCACAAGTCACTTCAGAAGTAATCCCATATTTCCTAATCTCAGGCTCACACAAAGGAGACCGTGACTTATTTTTTGAAGAATATACAATAGTACGAAACAAGACTTCACTACTTTCTGCACTATATATATATATATATATATATATGGATATACCTTTTCCATATTGTCCATTATTTGAAATTAATCTTATGAATGAAATAATGACTAAACTCAAAACACTTTCGTTCTGAAAACATTCGCTTACTTCTGTGGAATAAGCTTAGTACTATACCGGTGGCGGGAACTGCCCCCGCTCGTAAGATCTATCTATGTCCAAAAAGTATTATCAATGAAAATCCAAAACATCTGACTGCACGCGTAATACTCATTAGGGCTATGAAAGCATTTTTCAGTACATAGGTCTCTTCAACCTTGTTTTATCACATATATATCATTGTTCATAACATTTATATGCATTTGTTCTACGAAGAGGCATACAGATGAATACATAACTGACATTAGGTGATGAATGAAACAGAAATAAAAGTCTGGGTAGTGGATGAATTCATACTAGAGGTATCCTGGAGTCCTCCAAACTACTGTTTTCCCAGGTATTCACACTGATAAATAGATAATTGAAGTTTCAATGAGATTTAGCAAGTAACACGCACACAGTGTTATGACTTTCTTGCAATATGCACGGAAACAAATTGCATCATGTACTTGTCAAATTGCAAAATGATGAATTTAGTTAGCTGATGTCATTTGACTGTTGAAAATCAAGGAATATTGAAAATTTCTTGAAGTACTATAAGTACATTTATGAACAAATGAAGTCTATGAGATATTTGACATATACTCAGTACAGCATACATAGAAGAATTATCTGATTAAGTCCGATAACCAAATATGTAATTACAAAGAGCCTATGCTTTTTATCTGCACACGAGGACTCTATACAACTTGGTGGATAATTCCTCAACCTATTGTTTTTCCTATAGGTATTTCTCAAACTAAACATCCATAAAACTGAATTTCTACATAGAGTCAGTCAATCTTGAAGCTGAATAGCTGTGGTTTCCTTTCAATATTCACTTGAAGTATATTTGTCCATCTTTTGACAGACTGTCGCAATAAAAGAATGAAAACTGAACTTATGTGGTTGACATCCTTAACTTGTTTCATAAATTAATTCATAACTATATGTGACCGATCACTTATAACTATGGTAAATTCCAGGCCCGTATTTCATCTCTCCTGCATTTAGTATCATCTGGTGGTCAGCGAAATAACGAAGAACAATAACAGCACGACAATGAAATAGAATCATGTCATGATATTCTGAGACGTTTTTATCCATTCTGATATATTTGATTTTCATTTGTCTGCTATCTGAATGACTCTGTTAGCATTTTTTATTAATAACATAGATGACTTACTCTATCATCGATACTTTTCATGAAATATCAGTTTGAGGATAATGTTCTATTGCAGTCTGACATAAATGAAAGCCAAATAAATAACCACGAATTAGCTTAAAAGATTTTTATGCCTTACACAAGAACTAGTGGGGGATACATTGGGGAGCCTGCAGTGCATGTTGTAGGCTATTCACGTTTCATGATAGGCATAGTACCACTGCAACTTTTCCTTGGATGTGGTACACACTATCCATCAGCTATGCAAAATGGAAAAAATCTGTTTTCTAAGACTTGGCATAGCTCATAACTGTGTAGTATGCCGGTCTAAATGGTGTGAACTGTCCATTCCTAGCTTCGTTATTCATTAGGCCTGTCCTATGTGCGATATAAACCTCTACTTCTATGAGCACTACTTTGATAGGTTTTCTGTCGTAAGTGACAGTCAAGAGTCAGCTAATAGTTTCCTTTGCCTTATTCACTCGTATTCATTTACATATTTTTGCAACACCTGAATATAAAGGGAATGGAAAATTAAGCTTTCGATACAAAATGATGGGGAGAAGAGATGTATGTTTCGGAAGTAAACTTGGAATGCACAACACCGTCATTTCAGCAGCTTTGTTCCCACTCACCATGGAGGTTATTTGGTTAGCTGTGTCAATTGTACACTCGATGATGAATACACTACATACATCTTGATCATTCGAAGTAAATCGACAGGAAGCCCTAGACTTAGGTTTCATACTCATTGGCATTCACTAACAAGGCGTACCTGCAACCTCCAGCCCGCATCATCCATTATTGTGGTTGGTGACGTTACCAACTAGATATTCGGGCCGTAGTTGAATCTCTGTAGAATTATATTACATAAACTGATTGGTGGCTAGAAAGCAACCAATGTCGTGTTAGCTAGTCCTGGGTGCTGACCGAATTCTATCGACTATTTTGAAATGTGACCACTAAGCCAGGAGGTTCACCATCGCGGTACTATTTAACAGAGTTTAGTTTATTGATTTGGTGACATGGGTTTGAATATCAGTAAGGATATCGATTTCTCATAGGTTGCCGTTAAATCTTGTTGACGATTCCCAACGAGCATGAAATCCAGTTCTAGGGTTTCTTACCAATTGCCTCCAACAAATCAACATCCGTCAAAGTGAAAGGCGATGGCAAGCTTCCTAGTTGGATGGCCACAATTAAAAATGATCGATGGAATTCGGTACGCACTCAAGAGCACAAAATTGGTTGCTCTCCAGTGACCAATCGACTTACGCTGAATAAATCCCATTTTAAAAATTAATGGTTATTTGAGCAAACTTCTTATACGCCACATTGAAGACTAGTTGTTAGCCATGAAGATATATTATGCAAAAAAGTCAGTTATGTCAACTGAAACACCGTCTGAACTACGCACTTGACAGGCCAAGCCTGCTTTCAATACCGCTACTTTTCATATAGCCTAGAGGATTTGTTACCTACCAGTGAAAAGAACTTAAGGGTAAAATTCCTCTATCTCTACCTCATATTTTATCCAAAGTTTCACCTGCAGCTGTGAGGGTTTTTTACATATCGAACTAACTGAATAACTCAGTGTCATCAGAAAGAAAATGCTTCCCGGTAGTTATCAACTCACGTGATTAAACCAAACGTGTTCGATATCATTTATTACTAAGCATTGATTAATGACTATCTTTCAACTGCTTCACATAACTCCTACTTACAGGTGACAGTAGTAGCTTGAACTATTTACATCCACACAAAATTATATGTGCAGGAAATGATACTTGCGACTCTTTGTTTACCCGGGACTATTCGGCCTGTTATTGTAATTAATAACTGTTATTTCTTTGTAGCTGATGTAATTACTAAATACTGACACAATTCATTTCAAAATGGTATTCATCACGGACTGATATCAGATGGAGAAGCGTTGGTACTCTGAGAGCACTGGATAGTTGTTTCATTCTAAAGAACGCACCCATTAACTCCTACTTAGGACCTTCGGGTCTCGCAGCAAGCTCAATAACCGCTATGCAGTAGGTCAGAGTTCACTGATCAGTGGCTTTCTATTTTTGTCAGTTCGCAATATAGCGCAGCTGCCCAGTGCTGTCAGGTTTCCAGAGTTTCGCAAACTAATGGTAGTCCTTGACGAATACCACCATGATATGAATGAATCTTCACAGACCTCAAACTTAAAGTATTATTAATGTGAAGCAAATCAGTTGTTATGCAGTTATCAAGATATTATGAAATGATATCGCCTAGTAGTATTACTCTTCCTAATGTCTTATTTATCATTGTAAATTACCAAAAGACAGATTTCTACATCGGCAACTGAACCGTGCAACAAGGTTAGTGTCTTCAACACAATGGTGAAATCTAAAGGACAGAAATTAAATACTGTTCATATAAAGACGAATCTTTCATATTAGATTTGTTCACTTGACGCAGTATTATTTCCTCACGACATCCCAACCAAATATTATTGCCCATAATTGTATCACAGTAATCACAGAAGTTTCGATATCTGATTTTTACGGTCACGCTTATGGTTCTGAAGTGTTCTATGAGTTAGATAGTTTACTCAGGCAGTTTTCATTGTCTTTCTGGACAAAATCATCCGCACTAACTTCAGTATGAAGTAAGCTGTCACTATCTCCCCGCAAGTGATTTAGTAGCTTGCCAGAACGAACTGGTTTGTGATTGGTTGTTTTCTTTGACTGTTGTGTTGTTGACTTTACAGATTTTCCTGTAGGCTGTTCCCCTGCTTGACCTCTAATTTTTCTGTCGTTTTTCATTTTTCTCATTGGTTTATAGATTAGGTCCACGTCAATACTTCTACTGATTGTTGACTGACCTGAATGGCAAGCTTCTCTGAATTCTCGGATATTCTTTGTGTTTTCTCTGTTCAAGATTTCTGTATTGTCAAAATTGAATTCATGTCCATATTTATCCACGTTAATTGAAATGAGCGATGAAATATCATTACGCCGAATAACTACTTGGCTTTCATGAAGACGAAGACGAAGAGGGTGATCACTGTGTCCAGTGCAGTGCTGATCATAGTTATTGCAATCGGTTTTCTACATGATTTTCGGTTTGCCTACTTTGAATATTCCTCTTTTGGTTTGAAGGAAATTGGTTTGCTTATGAGCCGTACCAACTCCAAGTTGCCTCTGCAATTTTATTATGATTTATGATATATTCGTTATGTGGGGCAGAGTGATCCATTTTTGTCTTCTGTGGATGGAATATGCATCCTCTGACAAAGTTTCGTGTGTAGCCAATCTTCTTTAGAATAGACATTCAGTAAATTTCTTCGTTTACCATCCTATTACTTCACATTCTATATTTTAAGTTAAAGTGAAATTTCCCACATATTTGATATAACTGTTATTTCAGCTCAATTACATGTGTTGGTTGTTGCTTCTAGGAATAAAGATCCAGTGATTAATATTTCTTCCCAAAAAACTATATTGGACTTAAGTACATTTTCTTTGGTACACCTCAGTATATGGTTATGGAAGGGCAGGTATGCTGATAGCCGAGGTTTTTTTGGATTACTGATCTTAGTAGGATCTATCATTTTACATTTGTTTAAATTCTTATTCTCTTATAATGTGACTTACCATGATTAGCCAGTATGACCTATTTATCTGACCTCATAGGGAAGTAAGTAATATTCTATTAATGAATACTATATTAAATAGACAAATTTGACACAGAATGATGTTCTACCGCAGTGCCGAAGTTTTTCACTTATATGCATAAGCCTTTTACTGAAAAAAATTATGTCAAACGTAAATAGCTAGTAGAAAATAAGCCGTTTAAATAACTTGGCATTTTTGGAATATCTGACGCCAGACATTTCAACTACCTTACCAGTGACTTTACCGAATACTGCATGATGTAAACAACTGCGTTAGTTTGTGATGAAGTCAAAGTTTTCGTTTTTGTATATGTAGAAATAAATTATTGACTCTTTTGCATTAGTAGGTAATCCAAAAATATCTAGCTGAAGATCTTAGAAACCAATTTTTACACATTTTGGCGCTTATCGGTATTATATACCAACAATATGAGAGGATTAAAGCGCCACAAAATGCCTCTCCGTACTATTTAAATATTTATTCATATTAACAAGAGAAACTTATCAGTACTTACTTGTCTCAATAATTCTGAGTGAGAAAAGTCCTCCATTCTGGCGGCTTCCAATACCCATACCTTAGCTCCACGCCATCGATTGCCTATATCCGCTGGAAGCGACACTGTACTCATCATTGAAGGTAAATTCAATTTGACATCAAAATTCTCATTGTATCTACCTAATGTATTTACTGTTGTGAAATGATTACTATACACTGCTGAGGTAAATTCCACTGTCGCATCAGTTTCAATACTGAGAACAAATGATAATCCAACGCTGATAGTGAAAAGAAAAGTGTAAAACACACGAAAACACAGATAGGTCATGATAAAAAATTTCTGTGGACATGTTAGATTTGATTGTGAACCACTGCCTAGCAGGCTTGTGGTACAGACTGAGAATGGAGAATACCCTCTGCGTTGTATTTCATCTGTGGGAATATAATTTCTTGCGCCGTTAACAACTATTCCATGTGCATGAAGTTTATGAGACCCTTGGCATATCTTCAGTACAGCATATATAGTTAGAAGAATTATGTAAGTGAGGCCGATAACTAAACATGTAATTACAAATGGCAAATGCATTTTATCCGCTCGTAAGGACTCCACACGACTTGGTAGATAGTGGTTCAACATATTGTTATTCAGATCAGAATTTATTGACCTTGAAGATTTAACATTTTCTGAAAACTCTAGAGGTGTACTGAGTAAGTAATCCGTGAAACAATCTTGTATATGAATTATGAGTAATATAGACCGGGGTGTAGGTGAACTTACAAACGGGAATTGAATTTGTTCAACATGAAATTGAATACGAAAATGTTCACTATCATTTTCAGACTTTCCAAAAGCTGAATCAAAAGTATCATGAAGAAGAATTAAATCTTTTTCCAGTAAAATATTTTCCTGCTGATTAGTTCTCAACGGACCGCCTTCATTTGATGATGATGATGATTTCAGTGAACCAGTAAATAACTTTAAATGGATATATGTTGGTTTGTGTGTTGTTGAACCTTAAATGAAACAAATTTAAAATTAGTACAGTTTTATCATATTATTTGGCGTGTATAGAGTTTAAACAATTCCTGTAGCTTACAAAGAGTATTTAAGCTTTTATTTCGATCTCACATCTTTTCCTATAGGCTAAATTGAAGCTCTTGAATAATCGTCCAGTGTTTGTTTTAGTTTCACTGGCCAATGCGTACAAGCGGTAAGAAATGTAAAATACATTTATCTGCAACCTGATTGGTCAATCCTTATTAAGTAGAACATCATTTGGCTGCTTTTATAAAATCTTTAATCTTTTAGTAATTATCTTGGTATTGATGCGGCTGATGCTGATTGTGATAATATTAATAATTATTATTTTTATTATCTTAATACTCACAAGGAAATTCTTTAAAGAGGTCTTTTATTTTCAGTGTGGATGCACATGCTCAGATACGGACACACACAGATAAATACTCACACATGTATCAATACTTGTTCATTTCCCTTCCACATAAACTCTGCCTAATTATCAATTATAGTTTGTTGTATAAGCAGTTTTACCATTCTCCTCTTTTCACATCTCTAACTATTTTGCCCAAATACTTACTGCTAAGTGATCTAGGGAAGTTATGAAGAGCGGAAAACTGAATTTATAATAATTAAAGGTTACTGAATACTTAAACCATAGGTTATCAATAGTAAACATAGAAGGTGGATCAGAACGAAGAAATGGAATAACTTTTCCTACATGTTACTTACTAATCTCACACTATTCTTTTTTAAAATATGGCTAAGATGATCATGTACGATGTTTAAGCAACGCTTCTAAAGTTTTTCTCGTTTGTTCTCACTGAAGCAGATAACTTCATCCTGAATATCTGAATTCATATCCAGTCTAGAGGAGTATAGGTACTACTAAATTTGATTAGTTTGTCATATGTGGGAAATTATACTATGTCAAATGATCTAAAGTAGAATTACATCTCACCAGAATATAGAAGTACTTCACTAATTGTAGTTTAGGTTGGTTAGTGTGCATCCACTTTACATTACAAAAACAGAGGGTGAACGAATAACTTGGAAAATGTGAGAATGTGCATAGTGATTAGTTACTAACAAATGATGATATGAGTAGTTGTTCATCGATAAACTAACGGACATGTGCTGGGACATAATTTACTTACTCTCAACCACGGATCAAATACTGATGAAATGTTCACTGCAGTAGTGATAAGAAGGAAGATATTCATAGCTTCCAGACTAAAATATTTCAACCAGTCATAAAACTACTGATTATCGGCTTTGAGATGAGTGCAGATATGCAGGTTTCCCCGTTGGCGTCATTTGGTTGGAGTTAATAAATATACCTTTTTACTCAAATTTTCTCAAGTTTGACACAAATAGCGTGAACTAATGATCCCATAAGCTGAGATTATGCAACGGTTATACTCATTATAAACTTGAAGAACAGCATCCTATTGCTTGTAGTGCCAAATGCACCGTCAGGCAGTTCTTGCATAATTCAGAAAACTTCCGGCCACCATTACAGACTAGATTAACACCTTAAAGGTATCAGGATCTGGAAAGAACAATACATTCAATCTATCAGATTGAAAAGGCAAAATACAGCTACTTTGTCCACTTTAGAGATTATTAATTAAGATGGACTTGTTTACATTGTAATTCTGTAAAGTTAGAATAAACCAACTTCACTCATTGTTTTTCAGATCTTAATGATCACTGTTAGCAGTCAGAAGAAGAATATTCAGAAAGCTACATTGATCAAAATAGGCTGGGAAACGAAGAGCAAAGGGACGACACTTCAGTACAAATAAAGGACTATACAACATGTAAACGACCTATACAAAGTGTTACAGAGTGCTCTAAGTCGGCAAAATCACTGATTTCAAATAATACAACAAAGAAAAGGTTGCATTAATTTACCACCGTCCTTCAAGGTATCTATCAAACTTTAGTTAAGTTCGAATATCTCTTTGTTGGTATTTTTTAGCGATAATTTACGTTACTTCTAGAACAAATGAAATGCCTCAGAAACAGGTGAAATTAACTCTTATTTAGTATGACATCTTTTGAAGTGGTGACAATTGGTCTATGTAAGATTTGTTCACTTGACTTAGTGATACAGACTTGTTATCATGCAAACATCCATAGATGCTGCCACGTATTCTACAATTAAAGATAAAACAAATTCATCAATTCTCAATCATCTTTTATACCATTAGAATTTCTAATATACATTCACTTTTATCTACTTTCATATCAGTCTTTCCTATCCACTCCTTTGCACGCTGCTGTGAAACATGCCAACCTGAACTGATGCACATCTGTATATCTGACCTGGCGAACAAAGAGGTTTCATTCCATTCAGATTCAGTGAAATCACTTTCTCTACACTTTTTAAGATAACCTACTGACTGATGGCCATGAAACGATTCGTTTTTAATTTGAGAACCGTTAAATCAAGCTTTTAAAAGTCCAAAGGTTAATTTACTAGTGTTCATGCTTACTGCGGTGATTTTCGCTCTGAAAGAAGTCATCAGTAAAGTAGTATGAAATTTACCCTGACAAGGTTGTCTAAAATGACAACGTAAACTTCACGACTGAACTATCCAACCACCACAATCCTCCACCAGAGCACATCATTTCCAAACCCGAAGATTAAAACAGGTTGAAACTTCATCACCATATAAACTAGTGGTTTCAATTTGGGGTAGCTGCTAGCTTCTGATTAGCTGCATGGTGACAGATTGAATCTCTTCTTTGTGTTTTTTGTATACTTATTAATTTAACTGGCAGGTTTATTAAAAAGTTAACCTTTTAATTTTCTGAGTTTTCTCAAAAAGAATAATGTTACACCAACCACCAGGTTTCGGCGGCGTTCTCAAATTATTTACATTGTAACTTCGCGTTTACAAACTTCATTGATTTTTGATATCTACTTAAAAATTCAGTTTATACTACTCATACAAAATTGAGATTTATTCAAATTTATTTTCAAAGAGTGTTCCAGAACTTATGGTCAGATGCAAGGTAAAAGATAAGTCCAGTCTATCCATTACCTAATGTTAGACTCCTATGTGACAATAGGGATGGGTTGAACTCATTGCGGCGCTTATTATTGACCCGCTTTGTGACGATCCGTCGAGTCAGCCAAGTTAGCTACTGGCCGCCTACATTGTGCTATGACCGCGTTATTTAGTCAGCTAACAGGAACACAAAAACGTTGACAGTAAGGTCCCAGTCTAGTGATCGCTTTGAGATCTGTAGGTCCTGCGCTGGATTCCCTACAAGGCCACGGATGTGAACTGTTGTAAAGATTTAGACTGGCACAAAAGGCTACCCAATGATTTCATGTTTTCAGCGGTCGTTTAATTGATGTTACTTCCATCAAGGAATATACCGTCTTATCTAATTCCTTTGTAAAGTACCTGACTCATTTCCCCTTAATGCTTCCTGGAGTATTTCCTATGTCATAGTCTGTTGAAAACTCTATCTCAATAGTTAGTAGTTGAATGTAATTTCACTTTCATATTCCGTGCTTATCAGGTGACGAAAATATACTTATCCAAGAGTGAAAGTGAGGTGAAAAAAGTGATATTTCTCCTAATTACGAATCTTCTACTTATATTCCCTTATTTACCAAGTGATTCATTCTACTCCAGAAGAATTTTATGAGTAAAGGAGGTAATGAAAAGTTAATTAGTGACTAATTAATCAACCTCTGTCAGTTTTCTACAGAATCAAACTATAATTCAGCTCTACTGATTTTTTCCACTAGTTTTCAATCTCAGTTAATAATAATTGATCAAGTTAAGAGAAGTCATTCACTACAATGGTGTTTAGTGAACGCTATTCAAACAGAATTTAAAGCGAAATCATCACAGTTTGATGAGTTATTTGAACATAAAAGCATAAAAAGTGGAATTTTTAGCCAAAAATGAGGATGACAATTATTTCGCATTTTTGATTATTTTGAACGAATCTGAAGAATCAGCTTGATTCCCTGCTTTCATCAAGGGTTTGGTAATTACACTATTAGAAATATTTGCTATTCTCAATCGTAGGCTCTTCGAAAAGGAGAGGGTGATAGGACATCAACAAGATGCTTTAGAACAGCTCAAAATCATCAAAAGATGGAATAATTCAAGTATTTGCCTTCCTGAAGCCATTGTCATCAAACTCTTGAAACTAGAATTATTTCGTTTTCTTAGAGCTTCGACTGTAGATATTTAATTACCAGGCTTTTTGACTTTACTTTGAAGGACATGAATACGAATCTAAAAAGATACTTGAACTAGTCTCACAGTGTCCAACTTAATCACAGTGAGCAAATCACTGAGACCGGCATACATAGATTTCCAGCTTCATTTCATTTAAGTCTAGAATGTTATTTCAGGGATGTGTATATGTATAAACTTCTCAATACTGCATTATACTGTGTGTTTACGTGTAGTGCCGGTTCAAAGCAACTATCTTTTTTTCAGGAATTACTTTATCCTGCGTGATTTACATGTCTACAGTACTATCTCTGTGCTAATCGTACGTACCCGTTAGATATTTTCATACACTTGTGTATCAGTGGAAACACTACAGTAAGTACAGCAAATAGCATTACTATAGCATCAAGAGGTTGTACGTCAGAATGAATCAAATAGGTTAATGTTGCAACTCCCACTATTGACTCACTCCTGTCACGAAAATCAACACCTACCAGTGAAGTTTGCGTCGTCATTCTCTATCCTTCACTGAAACAATAAAGCGCGGACAAAAAGTTGCAGACTGATTTTATACATAACAAGTTTCAATCTAGTTTACTCTAAATGCTCAGTTACTAGATTTCAACCACTGAATCCGAAGGTAAACCTTTAAGCAATTGTCAGAAAGAAGGTTATGAGATACACGTGATAGACTATTCCCTGGAAAAATCTGTAATGATGATATCCTAAGTCATTGAATATTCTGAATCCATTCAACAATACTTATCTTGATTACCTTGGCCAAT